TTCTTTACTTTCTCCTACGAAAGACCTAATTGTAGTTATAGCCTCGTCATACACGTCCTTTATCACCTCAATATACTTATTCGTCATTTCTTTTCTCTCAAGCACCCTCCATATTATATTTCTAGATATTTTATCATACATCTTTTCTAAATCTATAAATACCGTATGAAAATTTTTCTTCTTCTCTCTATATTTTTCTATGAGTATCCTCAATAAATATATAGCTTTCATAGTTGATCTACTCAGCATAAATCCAAACTGATTTTTCAACATTGTAGTCCTAACTCTTAGGCGTCATTCAATGACCCTTTCCCATAATTTCATTGTATGTCTCATCAATTTTATCTTTCTATAATTATTACAATTTTGAAAATCTCCTTTATTTTTATAGATAGGTATTAAAATACGATTTCTCCATTCATCAAGCATTTTTCTAATAGTAATAATTATATTGAACAATTTCGTAAACCACGACACCCCCTCATTCCCTAAGCACTTACAAACCTCAATTGGAATCTCATCTGGTGTTAAAGTCTTGCCTGATTTCATTTTATTCAATGCAAACTCTACCTCCAAAATTTTTATTTTATGAAAGAAAGTTTCATAGATCCTACTATTTTATATCTCTTCTAGGTTTCCTAAGTGATTTTCGTTTTATAGTTTCTCAAATAGTCTTTCTACCAATCATTTATTTTTTGATCTTTAACTAAAATTTTTAAATCATCGCCCTTGATGCACTTAAGTTGGTTAAAGTCTCTTGTTTTCCTTTCTCTAATTTTAGCTAGTTTGTAGATGTCTTTTTCTCCCTCTTTACTATCTAGTTTTTTGTATAACTTATCGTAGGCTTTTAACTTAGTGTCTCTAACTATCTTTTTAACCTCCTTGTTAGCTAATTTATATCTTTGAAAGTTCTCTCTATTTCTATTTTTTTTTATCTCTTAAAGGATTCTTTCTTTATTTTAACTACTTCTTGTACGTCATTATTCCACCACCAAGTTTCTTTTTTCACAAGCCCTCTACCCTCTGACTTCCCAAAAAACCTTTCTCAAAATTTTCCTAATGTCTCTAGTCTTCCTACTCCACATAACGTTTGTCTCATCCTCTAGGTTCCATAAGGCCTCTTTAAGCATTCTACTCCTAAATAGTAATAGTTTATGCCTTTTCCCTGAATAACCTTACAATCTTTACATGCTAATCGGTTCATTCTTCTACTTTAGAAATAGTCTACTTGACTTTTGTTTGGTCCGCTCTTCAAGGTTATTAAATGTTCTTCTCGTTTTATAAACTAGGTGTTTACCACTACAAGGTCATATGTCATTGCAAACTCTAAAATACTCTCTCCAGCTTCATTTCGATCATCATATCCATAACCACCATGACTCCTCTCATATTGTGTCATATCTTTTCCTACATGTCCATTGAAATCTCTATCTATGATTATCTTTTCTCCTATAGGTATATATTGAACTAATTTATCCATTTGCTCCCAAAATTATTTTTTAATATGTTCTTCTAACCCTACTTGAGGTGCATAAACGCTAATCACATTAATTATATTCTCTCTGATTACAAGTTTAATAGATATAATTATATCTCATTTCCTTGTAACTATTACTATGCTATCTTTGAGGCATTTATCTACAACTATTCCTACTCTATTTCTTCGGCTATCCTTTCCTATATAGTAAATCTTAAATCTAGTATTTTCTATATCCCTTGCCTTCTCATCTTCCCACTTAATTTCTTATAAGCACGCTATACTATTTTTTCTCCTACTCATAGTGTTTACTAAATTCCATGTTGCTAATATAAATCTATCATCGTGGATTAGCTTCCTTACCCCCTACATCTATCCACGCGCGTGGAGACCTTTGCCCATTTATCACCGCACCCAAGCGCCAATGAGGCACCCCTAATTTATTTGTCGAAACACCTCGAGGCAGACGCACTAACCCTAATTGACTTTTCGAAACACCCCGAGGCAGGCACAACGCGTCATTTATGGGGAACGACATAGCATTAGCGCATATATCATTGTTTTGACTCATCATAGTAGATCTGACAAAATTTTATGCTCACTGTTGACTACCTAATACAACCCTTCTCCTTTATTTTAACTTGAGACAAACAATTTTGAATACAACACTTGCGGCGTTACGATTAAGTAGACCTACACAAACCAAACAACTCAATCCGAACAACCCCAAACTCGAAACCGATCGACCCCCCACAACCAACCCAATCTCCCCCCTCCCCCCTTTCTCTCTTCACCCCTCACCAATCACCACCATAATTGACGCTCATCAGCACCCCCAACCTCCCCAACCTCTCATAAACACCCAACCAACCACCACTAGTCTGTAAAATCCTCACCCTTCTCAGCTCTTGGACCTCCAAGTCCTAGCCCTATCTCCTTCCTAATCACTAAGGAGTTGCTTGGTAAGGAGGTATGGGGGGACTTAGTAAAATGAGTTTAGGGAAAATAGTCCAATAGATCTCCAAATACCATGTTTATATGAAAAATTTAGTCACAAGTTTTCAAATTCGGCTCGTAGTTGGCCCGAAGATTAAATCTATGACCATAGATTTCATCAAAACCAGGGAGAGGGTGAGTTTGAGAAGATGGATAAAGGGTTAAAGATTCAAAAGATAATTAAATCCCTTAACATAAGTATGAATTTGACTGATCAAGGATAAAATAATCATTTACAGGACAAATAGTTATTAATAATTATGATATATCTGTGAGTCTTACGTGTGTAAGTGTTACATACTAAACCTGAGTATAGATCAAATTGAATATTAAATTTCATCTTTGAAAAGAGTAATTTGAATTTAGAAATATTTGAAGAATTCAATTCAAAATCCTCCCAAAATTCATCCACACAATCGCTAAGTCTTTCAATCATGGTTTCAACTCTCAATATCTCCTTTCTCTCAATTCCCTTCTCAATGAGGGTCTTTCTCTCTCCCCTCCTAAAACCCCATCACGGCACGAGATTGAAACCGATCACTCCGCACCTCAACTCGGAAACTGTATATAACATCAATTTAATCAAATATATATGTGCATGCGTGTATAAGTAAAATCTATATAAGTGTCTACGAATTTGTGCGGTAGAATGCGAATTTGGATGTGTGCGAGTCTGAGGGTGTTGAAGCTTCGATCCGCATTTATGTGAGTGTGTTTATGTGAAAGAAGAAGATGACGAGGATGATGATGAAAATGGTGTTGGTCGTAGGATTAGTTTTGTTGAAACAAGAGAGTTTGGATGCAAGTAGATGGGGAAAAGGAAATTATCAATCCTGCGTTGATGCGGTTGAGGACGAAATCTCATGGAAGTGCCTGAGTAATTGTAAAACTATAAGGGAGTTCTCTGTTTTTGTTTAGAGTAATGCTAGATGGACTTAAAAATTAGACTTAAAAATTAGACTTGATAATCTCAACCATTGAATAGGTAGTGGGTCCTAATAAATACTGGAACCCACAGTTAAATCAATGATTGAGATTATCAAGTCTAATTTTTAAGTCTACCTTTTAAATTCATATAGCATTGCTCTTTTGTTTAATTTTACCAATTTTAAACTACCCAATCAGCAAGAGAGAGAGAGAGAAAGAGAGAGAGCTTCCATGTGGGAAGGTTGGACCTGAGGAAAAAAAGCACGAGATCTCACCAACTCCAATGCATGGGGAGCTGGATTTGTATAAAAAATGTTTCGCTTTACAGTTTCCCATTCCCTCATTTTCTGGATTCTCCATTGTCACTGCATTAAACTAAGAGTCTTGTAAGGGGTAGAACCCTCCACTCAGGATTTCGGCTTGACCTGGGTTAACCCACGCGGGCGACCCCCCAGTAGCCTTTACCTCTCTTCGCCAATAGGACCCTTTCCTAAGGCAATCCCACATCGGAAGAGAGTCGTCTTCCCCCCTCGCATATAAGCCCTTGCACTCAAAGGAGGAGGTACCCACTAGCGACCTGATCAGGTGCCTAGTGGGTACCTCCTCCTTTGAGTGCAAGGGCTTATATGCGAGGGGGGAAGACGACTCTCTTCCGATGTGGGATTGCCTTAGGAAAGGGTCCTATTGGCGAAGAGAGGTAAAGGCTACTGGGGGGTCGCCCGCGTGGGTTAACCCAGGTCAAGCCGAAATCCTGAGTGGAGGGTTCTACCCCTTACAAAAAGGCGCCTTTTTGTAAGGGGTAGAACCCTCCACTCAGGATTTCGGCTTGACCTGGGTTAACCCACGCGGGCGACCCCCCAGTAGCCTTTACCTCTCTTCGCCAATAGGACCCTTTCCTAAGGCAATCCCACATCGGAAGAGAGTCGTCTTCCCCCCTCGCATATAAGCCCTTGCACTCAAAGGAGGAGGTACCCACTAGCGACCTGATCAGGTGCCTAGTGGGTACCTCCTCCTTTGAGTGCAAGGGCTTATATGCGAGGGGGGAAGACGACTCTCTTCCGATGTGGGATTGCCTTAGGAAAGGGTCCTATTGGCGAAGAGAGGTAAAGGCTACTGGGGGGTCGCCCGCGTGGGTTAACCCAGGTCAAGCCGAAATCCTGAGTAGAGGGTTCTACCCCTTACAAAAAGGCGCCTTTTTGTAAGGGGTAGAACCCTCCACTCAGGATTTCGGCTTGACCTGGGTTAACCCACGCGGGCGACCCCCCAGTAGCCTTTACCTCTCTTCGCCAATAGGACCCTTTCCTAAGGCAATCCCACATCGGAAGAGAGTCGTCTTCCCCCCTCGCATATAAGCCCTTGCACTCAAAGGAGGAGGTACCCACTAGCGACCTGATCAGGTGCCTAGTGGGTACCTCCTCCTTTGAGTGCAAGGGCTTATATGCGAGGGGGGAAGACGACTCTCTTCCGATGTGGGATTGCTTTAGGAAAGTGTCCTATTGGCGAAAAGAGGTAAAGGCTACTGGGGGGTCGCCCGCGTGAGTTAACCCAGATCAAGCCGAAATCCTGAGTGGAGGGTTCTGCCCCTTACAAGTCTCAAGCTTTCTCGAAAGATTCAACCTCAAGGTTCACTGGTGGTCACTGTTGTTTTGAGAAATGGAGGGAGAGATAAGGGTAGGGAGGTCTCTGGCTGAGACACCAACATGGTCAGTTGCATCAGTGATTACAGTCATGGTTTTCGTCTGTCTATTTGTAGAACGGTCCATTTATCGATTCGGAAAGGCGAGTTAGTGAAATGGTGAACCAGTTAGTGAGTTTTCATTTGTCTTGTGTTCTTGTTTTAGCCTTCTTTTGATTTGCTGCTGTTGTGCAATGTTCTGTTGGTCGTACAGTGGTTGAAGAAGACTAGGAGAAAGGCTCTCTTTGCTTCCTTGGAGAAGATTAAGGAAGGTCAATTATGAAACACTGCTTACTTATTTATGTTCATTTTTTTTGTGTGTGTGTCTGTAGGGATGTATAGCGAGAAGCGAGACTGTTTGACAGCATATTGATATGGTTTCTGGGTTTCGATTCAATTTAATCTCAACCCCCCATCTTCCCCCGTTGTATAGAGTTGATGTAGACGTAGCATTGGGACATTTCCGGAGTATTTTTGGTGTGGGTTGTTGTTTGGATATGGATTTTAGTTTCTGATATGGTATGTTGTTGTTGTGCCACTGAAATTGATGCATTAGAACTGGTGAAGAGTGAGTTTGTGGACATATTATTTGATGGAATTTAGGCTATGGCCTGTTGCATTAGAACTGGTGTAGAGTGAGTTTGTGGACATATTATTTGATGGAATTTAGGTTATGGCTTGTTTGTGTGTCTGTTTCCCCCCCTTTCTCCCATGGAGCTACTTAGGGCATGCATTGAGACATTTTGTGGGTACTGCTTATTTGGAATACACACACAGGGCTCGTCTTAGAGACATTTTAAGAGTAAAACTGGGGTCAGTGCCTCCCCTATTCCAACTCTGTCCATTTCTATTACCCACACTCTATTCACTTCAGACAGATTCACATAATAAATGCATCCCATTGTAGACAATGGTTGGCGGTTACCATAGAAGTGGGCTGACTAGTAAATGGAATGAACTTAATTGTGTTAATAATGTTTTTCAGGTTTTGTTTGATTGTATTTCCCCCTTCTCTTTTATCTTGCAAGAGCTGACACACTGTAGAGTGAAACTTGAGACATTCTTATAATATCACTGATATACCTTTCTCGTATTTGTGTTCTAATCTATACCATGTCTGGGTCAGAGCTGATGCTGCTTGGATTTATATCTTTGTTGCTGGGACAATGGGCAAGGTGGATTTCACAGATTTGTGTGAATTCCTCTCTTTTCAGCAGTAAATTTTACCTTTGTTCCGAAGAAGATTATGGGAGTAAAGAGAGAATTTTGATCACATATCCCTTTGGAAATGATAGTGATATTCCACCAAAAGGGATCAATTATCCAACATCGCATCAGTGTGGTAAGGTAAATTGCAGGTTTGTTGGCTGCATTTTGTAACAGGTTTAACTGTTGTGGGGCTTAGTTAGTGTACTGAACCCAATTTTCTCAATTTGCAGGGGCATGAACCTTTTGTTTCGTATGAAGGTCTTGAGCAGCTTCACCGATTCTTGTTTGTTCTTGGTGTCACCCATGTTTTGTATAGTTGCATTGCAGTTGGTTTGGCTATGAGCAAGGTGCAGTCTCCATCTCCATCCTCACATTTACATTTAGACCTTTGATTTAATAGAGGGGATGGTTACCGTCTCTTTATGGTGACCTTTGGACATTATATTCAAACAAATTTGTTTCTGAAAATGTTCATGTGAATAGTTTAATTCCAAAGCACTGCAACAAAATGTGACCACTTATCCTTGGTCATGTCCGATTGCTCCTTGATAGATGTGGGGATTAATTGTTTGCCAATGAATGTGCTTGTAGATTTACAGCTGGAGGAAATGGGAAAACCAAGCAAGCCTGGTGGCTGATGCTAATTTTCAAGGTAAGGTATAAAATGAAGTAAATAAGATGGACTGACATACAAATCAACAGAATATTATGAGAGCAATGTACACAAGTTGATTCCTTCCTTTGCATTGGACAGTCCAGATTTATGATTCCTATTCTCCATGAGTTTGCTCTTTCAACAATCTACTAGTTGTTTAACAACACCCGAATTAGGATTGTAATTTGTGACATGCAAGTGCTATCCTGGTAGATGTCAGCTTGGAAGCCGTATCACATTATGTTTACCCATTTGACATCCATGCAGCTCCCCTCCCCCCACGGGGCATTGACTGCTGATTGATGGGTGGACTCGTATATGGAAACTTGATGCATTGTTAAGAACTTGAAAACATGACTTGGTGACAGTTAGCTTATTGCACCAAGTATTCTTGAACTTGTGTTGGGTACGAAATGGCAATTTCCTCAGGGTTGTGATGAGCCATGCCAAAGAGCTCATGAGTTGAAAAACAGCAAAAAATCGAACCACAAACCTCTGCAGTGGACATTAGCATGCAATGACCGATTTATCTAATTGGTTGCGCTGGTGTAAGGGCTTGGAGCTTGAGGATGGTACTGGACTTGGTGCTGCGAACTGTAGTGTGGTAAGTGGAGGCAATGCGCGGAGGCTACTTTGACTGAGAAGGTAGTGGTATCATAGTGGACAGACAAATGGGGTCAACTTCTGTTTTGTACTTCATGGAGGGTGAATAGTTTTTAGTAAAGGCCAGTGAGTTATTGTCTTGGGATTAACCAAGAAATAAGTAAGTGTAACAAAGAAAAAAACACCTCAGCCACTTGCGGGTATGTAACTCCCTACCTACATCCCTTTTGATCTAAGAATGTAACAAGGAATGGAAAACTTCACATTTAGTATGATCTCCGTCATCTTGGTGTGAATAATTGTAGAGCTGAGCAGAAAGTATGGTTTCCTAGACAGGGCAAACTCTATGTTAAGTTTGATGGGCAATTGGACATTGTTGAAGACTTAGAAGTTTGGGGGCATAGAGTTGTTACAAGAATGACAAGGGGGATTTGGTGGCAGCATTATCAAAGAAAATTGCATGGCTTTGCAGTGCTTAAGTGGTGGAAGAAATGCATGACCCAAAAAAAAAAAGAAGTAGTGGAAGAAATCACTGTCCGTAACGTTGAAATTCTTCCAACAGCTAAGAATCACAGGTGCACTGTTGAGTAATGCCAAAGCTGCAACTGTAAGAGAAGAACTTGTCCATCACCCAGGAATTTCTGAATCGTGGCATCTCTCCAAGGGGAGTTCAGAAAGTTGTCCTCCCATCCGACTCTGTTGGACAGATATTTAGGAAAGCCTCCCAATGGCTAAAGTATACTCCTAGTGACGGATCAACATAGATATTTATTTCTGCCTGTGATGTCATGTATTTTATAAGATTTTGTCAACATTTTATTGATTGAGATCATGCTATTTTTAAGAACAGAAAAAAATTCCTTGTTAAGAACCGATAACAACTGAAGTATCTGAGCTATCATTTTTTTTTCCGGAAGGTGTATCTGAGTTATCATTGCTACAGGTTCACCATGAGAAACTAAATCTAGCAGTTTTAAGGAGTCAAAAAGAGTGTTCCGATTGGTTAAGATATGACAGAAAAGAATCATGGGAATAACATGTTCAATATGACTTGAATTGCTGTGTTAAATCTTAAACATAAAGAAATCTTTGCCCACATGGAGAGAAAAAAGAACAAGAAAAATGGTAGCTCTAGGAAGTTATAGTTTTTTCTTTAAAAAATACTCGGAGCTAAGTGAATGATGCAATTTCAACTCAATTATCCGAAACATGATAAATCTCCAGGACTAATGTATAATGGTTTCAAGCATGCACCACTTCAAAGATAAACCGATAAAAAGAAAAATAGTTCCATGGATCAGGAGACCTAATATTTAATACCCGAAGGGGCAAGTTACCTATGTCGTATGATATATCTAGAAAAATTACAAATATGAAATTGCTTGATTCTTTTAGCAGAGATTTTAGTTTATATGTTGAGAGACGTCTTGCTGGTCCGGTCATGTAACTCAAAAACTCCATTAAATTTGTACTGACTAATTAAGATGTCTTTTTTTTTTGCATTGTTATTTTGTTCTCATAAAAAAAAAGTTTCTTCCAGGTTTGTTGAACCTATGTTGTAAATGTAGGTTCCACATTGTGTCAGCCTTTGATTGTTGATCTTGACTTTGTCTTTACAGCGAGGAAGAACAAGGTGATGAGGCGGCAATCCACCTTTGCTCTACATCATGCATCTCATCCATGGAGTCGGAGTCGAGTTCTCATATGGATGGTGATAATTCTTACTCTTCATATAGGCTTATATTTCTACTAATTAGAGTTTCTTGCTTAATTTGACATCCTTTCTGTTTTTCATGTCCTTTTCTAATGTTCGTCCTTGTTGCTTATTCTTTGATGCCTTGGAATGATAGACCATATAAACATGTTTGATTGTTTGTGATATTTTTAAGCGTTAGTATGTTTGTATGTTGAAGTGACTTTTTTGGTCTGCTATTACAGCTTTGCTTTCTACGACAGTTTAGGAGCTCAATACAGAAGTCAGACTACTTGGCACTGCGATTGGGTTTCATCACTGTGAGTATTCAATTTCTCTTAGTGCCTCATCCAGCACATCTATGTACAAGCGTGTTTTTTTCCTAGGTCACATTTTTTTCCAAAATTTTTTGTTCTAATGGCTTGACCTCTGCTTTCTTTTTGATATATTCTTTGTAGGAAACCTTGCGCGCAATTTTGCTGCCACTTGATGACTTACATCCCCAAATTAGTAACTACCCTAGTAGTGATAAACATGTCTGGAAAAGGAAAAAAACAGGGCCAGACATTAAGTAGAAAATCATTAAGCAAATGCACCAGACACAGGCATTAGTATCAGCTGCAAAAACATTCTGTCCAAAGAATAGCCTAAAACATAAGCCAATAGATCACTAAATTTACCGATAAGAAAACAAAAGAATTGTGTTCAAACTAACTGACAGAGTGATCTGTCCATCCAGATGCTTGCCGATAACTGTAACAGCAAAGGAAATGCTGAAGAAGCAGTGTGGATCTATGTGTTATTTTGAACATGTGCCATTTAGAAGTAGCTTCCCAAGAATATTGTGGATGGATGCCAATTGAAAATAAGATCATCCTTCAATGCAGAAATTTTATGGGTTTTCAGCAAATTTACATAGGAGGTGAGAAAACAGGCTGTCTGTCCCCTAATGGTCTTTAAACAATGGCAGTTATATATTACAGATATCCTCTTGGTAGGCTTGGTCTCATCTTCTTTACTAGAGTAACTTAATTCTTTTTTTTTTTTTTATATATTTGAGTAACTTGTTATTGAAAAGCCTTTGCAAAAGATTAAAGAACGACTATGTAGCATAACAGTGATTTGAAACATGAAACATCTTTCATCCTTCCTAGAATATTCTCCATCCACTGGCCATCTTTATATCTGGTATGAGACATATTGCTCAAGACTTCCCTGATGTGGAACTGATGCTAAGTAACGTGCATATGTGTATACGTGTGGGTGCATGTTTGCGTAAATTATATCTTAGTCCTTTAAGGTCATCACAGAAATTATTATCTTGCTGCATTGCTATGATCTCTTTTGGTTGCTGAAAATATTATATAATCTTACTATATACTGCTGTATCCTGTGTAAAGTTACAAGTTATCTTGATGTTTGATTTCCAGAATCACAAGCTGCCTCACTCTTATAATTTCCACAAGTATATGGTTCGGAGCATGGAAGATGAATTCTATGGAATTGTGGGGATCAGGTATGGGCTCATTTTTTATTGTTGTTTTATGTTCACGAAGAATTGTATTTTAGATGATATGTCAATTGTTAAAATCACTGGCTACATCTTGTCGAAAGTGTCCTGTTATCCATCTTCACTGGAGTGGAAGTTTCATGATTAAAAAAAAAAAAATGGAGTAACTAAAGTCTCTGTTGTTAATGACATACCTATCTGATCTCACTTCCATATAAACATTAAGACAACACGGTGTGCCAACTTTTAGAGGTCTTGCAAAATAATACAAGTGGTTGTCCTTCTTCAAACAATATATGCCCGCCAACGGTTATCTTGGTTGGGAAAAGTAATCGTGTTCCTAAATCCTAGATTACTGTGCCTGGATAGTTAATCAATTAGTACTCTAAATCAGTCCAAAACTTGAATGGGTATAGTAAACAAGGAATAAATCTCCCAAATTCAAGCTCCTTTCTGTCATCCAAATAGGGCTGTAAGTTTTTGGCGTCTGCCGCATTTTCCATCTTCACATGGAAGAGAAAGGGAACTGAAAAAAAGACGAAGAAAATGAGAATATATAAGAAGGGAGTCACTACTAAGTTTGGTCCTCATTATTTCGAAGTGCTGAGAGGGCTGGAGTAGGTACAGACCTTCTCTCAGATTCAAACCCACAACCTGACATTTGTTAGCTTGATACTGTTATCAGCGTTGCATCAGATGACCCCTTAAATATGAGAATATATAGTGAGAAAAGAGACAGGAGAAAGAAGAAAAAATTACTCATATCAAGAAAGCTTTAATTCCCAATGATTTGGCTTGGAATTGGAGAAACTGACACATCATCCTGTGGACCTCTGTGCTTGGTAAATAATTGTCATAGCTTAAATCTTAGTTGGCTAAATCATTACGCATATCTTTTTTTTTTTTGGCTAAGCGAACAAGTATGTAGCTTCCATCAACTATCAACTCTGGTTAAATCTTACCTTGAACTGCCACAGCCAGAGTCTTCTGGTTATCCTGTTATTACATCCCTTGAATGAATGATAATATCAGACTTCATAATATTTTTTATATTTCGCTTGAGCAGAGAGGTGGGTTGTTTTTCCAAACGTTACAAAGAAAACTCAAACATTTTTTGAGTACCGGAATGAGCTTCTGGAGTTCAATATTAACCAACAATTATTGAATGCATATTGAGAACTTCTCAGCTGCATTGTATTATCTCCTGTTTATGGTGAATTCATGATGGGGATCGGGTATTAGAGCTACTACGATCTACATCACTTCAATTAACCTGAATCTGAAGGTTTGAAAATCACTATGAGTTATGGGGCTGATCAATTCACCTAATCAAAAACGGCTGTCATTTTACTCTTCATATGACAAGATTCACACCACTACATGCATTTTGGATTTCAATTGTCCAATTGGTTCTTACTTAACTCCACACAACTTTAATGCCATCTCGCTATTCCTATTGTTGCAGTTTGGTTTTGCATATTTCTATATGGATTTGATTAAGATTAATCTAATAAAAAGTATGCTTCATGTCAAAAGAAGTGGGATAGTCTGTTTTTCCACGTAAGTAAAGGTTGTATTGGTTGGGTATTGATTGATCCTATACTCCAAACCTGTTTCAGAGCCGGCTCGATTTAATGTTCGTTGATTGAAAAATTGAAATTAAACAAAACCCACACTAATAACTGAAAAATGCAAAGAGGAATAAATTTGAAGCCATGGTTTGGTATGTGGGAATTGTGCAATTCTGTCTGGTCTCCATCTCCATCTCGGCTAATAAAACTTGCTTTCAGATAAGTGACAGTAAATCTCTCTTTCTTGGAACTGAACTATGTTTCCATTTTGCAGCTGGCCACTCTGGGGTTATGCCATACTATGCATCTTCATAAACATTCATGGTAATGGGTTGTGCAATGTGATTTTGGATTTTGCTTGTTTTTGAGTTTCCGATGTGAATAGTCTTATGATGCAGGTCTTAATATTTACTTCTGGCTTTCTTTTATACCTGTCTTTGTAAGTATTCTGACAGTTGTTGACTCTATACAGAAAAGGAATGATCTTCTGCTGGTTAATGTTTCTAATGTTCATTTATTCCATATGTTAAAGCTTGTCATGTTGGTTGGAACGAAACTCCAGCATGTTGTCTCCTTGTTAGCACTTGAGATTGCAGAGCTGAAGGGGCCATTTACTGGAACTCAAGTAAAGCCACGTGATGAATTGTTTTGGTTTGGTAAACCACAAATATTGCTACGCTTAATACAGTTTATATCATTTCAGGTGATGAATGTGTGATTATATCTTTTACATCATTAATGATGTAGATTAATTATTATTTACTAATAAATGTAGCCCTCATTCTCTCTCTTTTATGTACAGAATGCTTTTGAGATGGCTACATATATATGGTCCTTGGTAAGAGGAGATTCTTTCATAACCTACCTCTCTCTCTCGCGTCCTCTTGCCATGCTAAAATTGCAGTTCTTGGATATTTAATGGTTTATATGTTCTGTGTGGGAAGTCTTATTTCGTAGAACATTTTTACCACTTTAAGGAACTGGACTTCTGAAATTCCACCAAATGACTTAGTTGCAGAAAGTAATTACAGCCTAATTATTTTCCTTTATGTAAATACACCTTCTTGGAGAAAAAAGTTACGTAAATCAGTAACGAATGTTAATTTAAAACTTAGTTTACAGTTTAGTAAGATAATTTAAATTTTAGATTATATTGTTTCCAAGAATGCTTAATACCTTAACCTTTTCCTTGGGTAAACCTTATGTTGTCATGGATGCAGATTGGTGGGTTGTGCTGTATGACTTGTTTATTAAATCATTCTTAATGATTTGAGCAATTAAAGTTGCTTGAAAGTACTATTTGCCCATGCATAGTATTTCTTGTCCTGATGTTTTTCCCTGTATAAAGATGTACACTCCCAAGTGGCAGGGATGTCTCTCATTGCATAGGGTCCTCTAGGTAAGTGAAGTAGTACTTCATAGAAACTTGTCTTGGAAACTGCATGTTTCAAATGACTGGCCCAATATCAACACCCCTGGAGAAGAAGCATGCACCTGGAACTGATGTAGTTGGAATAGATCAACTTCACGTTTGTAAATTAATGTATTACCCAAGGATCAATATTTCCCAACTAGATCAACTTCTTGTTTGTAAATTAATGTATTACCCAAGGATTAATATTTCGTTTCAACGCATTGTTGCGGTCACCTATTGACATAAACGTTTCGGAAACAGAATGAAAACGGAGAACTTTTTTAAAAATTTTCTTTCGATATTCAACCACTAATTCATCTCGGGTTCCATGGAATCAAAAACATTTTGGCCGTTTTGATTTGAAAGGAAATTTTGATCCTTGGTTGATCACTCCTAGAGCCTCTATTATGGAAAATGGGTTTAAGAAAAGGAAGGAGATAGTGTTTGGTTGCTAATGCAAGTAGAAGTGTGAGTTCCTAGAAGGTTTGACAATTTGCAGATTTTACTGTACGGGTACTTTTCATGCATCAATCCCATGATACTTTTTGATTCTTTTTTTGTTCTTTTTTTTTTTTTTTTCGGGTTGGTCTATTGTCTAGGCTTCACAATTGGGTTGGCCCTCCCCCCTGCCAAACCCCTCCTAACACAGATTGAGACAGAATTTGACCCAGGTCTCTAGTATGACATAGGAAGCGACCCTTTTCAGTTGGGCTAAATAGCACCTTTTGCTCCTCTATGATTTTTGTAGCATTTTTCTTTAGTTTGATAATTTCTGATAGGAGCTTGTTCATCAGCAAAAAGAAATAAGTAGTGTGATTCCCATTTTCTGGTTAATGAACTTCATTTTCTTGTAATATCCATTTGCCTCCTATTCAAAATAATTTGAAGCTTCTTAGGAATGAAAAGTTTTAAATAAAGCTTGACGACTTAAAAGAAAGAAGAATTTTCAGTTGAAGAATGCTATTGTCATTTAGAAATGTATTTCTCAAATAAAATTAAATCCCCAAGAGATGCTGATTATTTATGTGATAACTATGTCAAACAACTACTTCTGGACTTGTGTAAAGCTACAATGAAATAGTTCACTGTTGTGCTCCAACAATGCACCCATATAACGTGATGTCCTTTTTCTATTCTGCAGTGGGGATTCAAGGAACAGTGTTTCATGAGGAACCATGCAATGATCATCATTCGATTAACTTCTGGGTATGTTTGTCTCTTACTACTGCAATCCCAAAATTCCGCACGTAAGATAAAAACCATACTTTTGAGTAACATATATTGTCATGTGTGCTTTCTGGTTTTGACATCTTGTTCCTTCACCATATGTTGTAAACAAACTCTCTGTATTCTAGCTTAACCCATCTCTTGTTTCACCTTCTGTATGATTGTTGAGGATGACATCAGTGTTGGTTAAGCCAGTGACGGGTCACGGGTTAGCATAAATGTTGCTAACAAAAAAAGAAAAAGAAAAGAAAGAAAGAAAGAAAATGGGAAAGCTGAAAAGGGTATTCTATATGCCAGTCATCCTTTACCATCCTTTGGTTTGGAGTTGTCTTTTTGTCTCTCTGATGACCACCCATCAATTGGACTTTACCATTGGTTTTTTACCTATTTAAAAATATTGCAATTGCAACATATCATGATGCAACAGAAGCTTATGGTATAACAGCACATTGGGTATTTCATGAAATGTTGTTCTTCACACTAAAGATTTGGTTGGTATTATGCAGGAATGTTTGCACTTTTAGTTTTTGTTTCCGCAGCTTTAGATATCCCACTCTAGGAAGAAAAATTTTCTTTTGAAAAAGGAAATGGCAGACCCAGTTTGACTGCTGGGCTGCAATTGTGTAGATTTCTTGAATTGTTCACGTTGTAATTACTTTTTGTGAACTTAGAACTGTAAGTGCCACTTAGACATGGAAGTATAAAAAGCGGGCAGACCAAGATTTTAATTTCAAGCAATTCTTTAATGGTATCAACACTTCCTGTGGATTGCAGAAAAGAACTTTGTATCACTGTCCTTGTTCACCTTGTATTAGGGATACATAATTACTTTTCCAATATGAAAAGACAAATTCTACCAATTCACATTTTTTGAACATTGTAACAGAAAGACCAACTGGATCGTGCTCAACATAAAGCACACAGAAAGTTTCAGTGGGGATGCCTACAGACCTTTTAGCTTGTTGAATGCCCGTAATCTTAGGAGTAAGGCAATATGGTGCTCTTCCATACAGTAGTCATCATGATATCCTGTTTTCTAAGCAATAATACAATTAAAGATGCGGCCATATTTACTCTACGATGTCATTGATCAGTTGAAAGAGAAAGGTTGCCCATTGGCAAAATGAATCTGTTACACACTAGAGATCTTTGGATTGTCAAATTATTATAGACCCTCAACTCTACCTCTCTACAGAATCTATAGGTGATTATTTAGCTTCTCATATTCTTTTTTTGGTACGTGCAGGGTTCTTGTTCAGTTCTGGTGTAGCTACAGCACTGTGCCTCTCAATATAATTATCACACAGGTTTGTTTCTTATTGGAGAAAATCACTTCTACTTTGATTCCTTTTGTACAAGTAGATGTACTGCTATCTTTCGTTAACTTATAATCTAGGCGTTCATATAGGGTAGTATTAACTCATCATCTGAGAGAACTTTGGCATGTTTTAGTGAAAGAAAGTATGTCAACCAAGGAAAGATATAGCAAATTTGGCAGCATCACCTTAAGCAAATCATGAATCTACAAGCATACTATTATTAATCTCACCACCGTTCAATTTGCTGGGTGAATATTAACTGTAAATTCAGTCAGTGGCTAGCTGACTCTAAGAAGCTCTGACGGGAGATAGATCTCTAGTGTCACAACTTCAACTTTTTGAATAGATATCAAATGTAAAAAGCACACTGTAATGGTTCATCATTAATCCTGAACTCCAAAAGTTCAATGGTCAGAGTGTATCCTTGCCATGCAGCTGGAGGGAACACTGTTGATATCCCTACCAAACCCGTGACTGGCTAATAAAAGAAGACCAACTCAGCTGTTGCAGCCAAAACTAGAATTTTGGAAAAATATTATCCAACTCACTGGTTCTATGAATCCCTTGATTGGAAGGAACACGCAATGGCTATTCTTTTGTTCTTTCCATTACAAAATTAAGGATGGCTTAAAAATTATAACATATTTCGGGTCAAAATTTCGCTATTTGCATGTTATACCAATTATTTTTTTGAACTTGATGTTATCCTACTGCTTTGTCCCATGACCTGATTACAGATGGGATCGCGGTGTACCAAAGCTTTGATTGCTGAAAGTGTTCGAGAGTCACTCCATAGTTGGTGTAAGAGAGTAAAGGAAAGGTCCAAACGCGACGCTTTGCTCTCCATTACTACTAGATCTACGTGTTCACTTGAATCAATAATCGATGAGAGGGACGAAATCATTACAGTTGCATCTTGTACTATATCTCCATGCTCTTCCTCAGGCTCCCTAAATCAGCTAGATGTAAACGGGGTGGTGCCAACTGAACAGCCAGATGCTGCTATCGAGACTTCGAACCAACCCCATCATGAATGTTCCTTCGGGATTCCAGAATATGCATCGCAACCCCTGGCCAGTGGTGCAGAAGACGACATGAACAACAGAGATGGAGGCAAAGTTGAGACTCTTCTCGATTTATTTCAGAAGACATGAAATCTGCTACCATTTGACAGACTTCACAAGCTGGATAGCTTCAAGCCTGATTTCTAACATCCAAGTACTTTTCTTGGTTGAACCTTTGTAACATCGAGTACCTCTCTTCGTCGAGCATTTCTAACATCAAAGTGTTTTGCAATGTAATGAAAACCCAATAGAGGGCAGGGCTTAACGCAGCGGTAAGATTGCTTCATTGTGAACTGGAGGTCAACGGGTTTGAGTCGTGGAAACAATCTTTCTGCTTACTGAGGTAATACTGCGTACATCTAATTCTCTCAAGATCCTTAAATGGTGGGAGTCTTGAGTACTGAACACCTTTTTTGATAATCCAATATGCATGTTGATAGTACTTTAAAGTTGTTTCAGGTGATAAAAATACCTCCATTTATATATGAATGCCATATTATTTTTAGAGCCTTCGTATTCTAAGAAAAATTAGTTTTTTTTTTTTACCAAAACACCATAGGTGAATCCAGAGTTTTTCTACAATAGGGGCAATCAGTAGTTTGAGGAGAACAATCACATAACAATCATTGAATTTTGTTGCGCCTTTCGAATAAATAGTAAGTAGGCTTGATTGAATTGATTTTCACATAACAACTACATAAAATTCAAATTGATTTTCAAGAGATCCGAAATTAATTTAAAAATATTTTTTGAAGTTATTTGGAGTTGAATTTTATTAAATTACTTATATCGATTCAATTGTATCAAGTAATATTCAGTCTTATCATATCTCCATATATATGAATGTAATAAATCGGATTAGATGACTATCAAATTAGAGTTTGGTATATCGAAATGTAAATTCGTAAAATAAGACATAATTAATTTGAACTTGGATAATTGGTCAAAGTTATTGATCTATATCTAACTAATTGAATTCTGAACCAAATTGAATTCAAATTAAAATTTAATATATTAATAGACCTAAATTTTAAATTTATGAGAGAATTCCATTTGATTCTTAAAATGTGGAACAATATCCAATATTTTTACAAATTTTTGTAGGGCAAGGTTTAAAAAAAAAACTTTAGATTTTTTAAAATTTCAAATAGACTCTAAATTTTTTGAAAGTTTCATATGGGGGCAACTGTCCCCACTACTAGGGATGTTTAAATTTTCGATTAACCTTAATTTTCTACCCTACCTAACCTTACATTATCCTATTGATTGGCTAGCCAAAAAAATCGGGTAAGAATGCGGAAGAATTTTTGATCTTCCAATTAAGTCGGATAGGAATGCGAAATACTCATCAAATTTTCATATTTCTACTTTACCCTACCTTACCCGTATAACTAAAAACCCTAATTCTCTAAAGTCTTGTCTCCTCCTCAGGACCTCATTTGTCTAGCCTCCAGCCTCATCATCTTGCCTCCCTCGCCATCTCGCTTCTCTCACCCTCTATTTGAACACCCCTATTTGTTCAGTAGCTCGCCCTCTCTCGCCTCGCTGCTCTAAGGTTGTTCACCCTATCCTACGGGTAGAAAATATTATTTTATATTTTCCTACCCGATACTTTACAAAAGNCCCCTATTTGTTCAGTAGCTCGCCCTCTCTCGCCTCGCTGCTCTAAGGTTGTTCACCATATCCTACGGGTAGAAAATATTATTTTATATCTTCCTACCCGATACTTTACAAAATAATTTTTTCTTAATCTATCCTACCCGATCAAATGTAGTTTTTGGCGCAAGTTACATGATTTGTGGTGATCTATTGGAACAGTTATTACTTTTGATGTGTTTCATATAGTTTAAACCTAAAATAATTGTTATTGTATTTGTGCAACAAGTTTGATGAATTGATGTTTATGCCTTGGGCTTTTTTGTGTTTTATTATAATTGTTATTGTAATTATTTTTTTTAGAGTTATTGATTTATTATGTTGTTAAATTGGTGCAGGTTATTTAATTAAATTATTAAAATAATTCAAAATTTAATAATTACAAAACTTGTTTACCCGATTTCCTACCTAATTAATTTGGACAGAAGTCGGGTAGGAATACTACACTTGATCAGGTAGGTAGGCTAAAAAAAATTCTTCCCCAGAGTATCGGGTAAGAATATGAAAGACTATATTTCCTACCCATAGAGTAGAGTGAACACCCCTACCTATTACCTCCGCCTTGTATTCGCATCTACAAATCACACACTTTTTCAATTTTATCTTTTATCTTATTTTAAATTATTGTAGGTTCTCGTGGGTTTAATCCACACTTGGAACAAAAAAAAAAACAAATTATATGAATACGCGTTTTGCAAGCACACCTTTTCAGTGAAAAGCATTGTATTCATCAATGGGTTATATAAAAACTAGGGTTAGTTGGACTAAAGATCCTCAAAGTATAGAATTTATCTCATTTTAGTTCTTAATATTTTAATTATATTATTTTAGTCCTTGAAGTATNTTGTATTCGCATCTACAAATCACACACTTTTTCAATTTTATCTTTTATCTTATTTTAAATTATCGTAGGTTCTCGTGGGTTTAATCCACACTTGGAACAAAAAAAAAACAAATTATATGAATACGCGTTTTGCAAGCACACCTTTTCAATGAAAAGCATTGTATTCATCAATGGGTTATATAAAAACTAGGGTTAGTTGGACTAAAGATCCTCAAAGTATAGAATTTATCTCATTTTGGTCCTTAATATTTTAATTATATTATTTTAGTCCCTGAAGTATTGAATATGTTTTTATGTAATCCCTCAAACAGACAACGTCCAAATTAGTAACAATTTTTTATTATAAACTTATCACGTAATATTTAAATATGAATAAAAAATAATTTAGATAATTATTGACCAAATTTCTATCCAAATATTGGTCAAACAACTATNGGACTAAAGATCCTCAAAGTATAGAATTTATCTCATTTTAGTTCTTAATATTTTAATTATATTATTTTAGTCCTTGAAGTAATGAATATGTTTTTATGTAATCCCTCAAACAGACAACGTCCAAATTAGTAACAATTTTTTATTATAAACTTATCACGTAATATTTAAATATGGATAAAAAATAATTTAGATAATTATTGACCAAATTTCTATCCAAATATTGGTCAAACAACTACCCAAATTATACAGTTTTGATCATGAGATATCCAAATATTGGTCAAGAACTATCCATATTACATATTTTTTGTTAAGAACTATTCAAATTATTTTTTGTCTATATTTAAGTATTACGTGACAAGTTTATTATCAAAAATCGTCAATAATTTGGATGTTGTCTACTTAAGAGATCACATAAAAATATATTCAATATTTAGGGACCAAAAATGATACAATTGAAATACTAAGGATGAAAATAAGATAAATCTCATATTTTGGAAATCTCTAATACAATTAATCCTGAAAACTAACGTAATTTGGTGCATAAGGTGAAAAGAATGATATTTTGGTTAATATAATTTAAAAATCACAGTAGTGTGATCATTGATCCAGAAAAAAAAATAAAAAATCAAGCCTCCCTTCTTTCTGCTTAAGGCTAAGAATTTCCAACATGGTGACAAATTCATATAGACAGTCAAAGACATCCACCATTGTGAGGTGTGAGATTGCAACGATTTGAGTGGGCTTCATTTGCAACCCAAGAAATTCTTTCCATGGTTCAAATTATTGAATGATACAGATTTGACTTAGTTAATTTGTCTTTAACTCGACATTTGTTGTTTTAATAGATGGTTAATTATAGTGGTGGTCCCAAAAGTTTGAACTTCGTCTTTGCTTGATCTTCAATGTTACAATTGTATCACAATGTATTGAATTTATTTTTAAGTTGTCTCTACGTATAATGTNACCAGTATTAATTGCTTGGGCCCTCGAGCAGTTAATGTTTTTTCTTCGATGTAGAGGCTTTACATGCTAGGACCCAAGACATTTAATACCCCTTATCTTCAGCTTCTCAAGCCACTGTGAATATCACATCATTTGGGGATTCATTAAATTACATGGAATAGTCGCATATCAANGATACAGATTTGACTTAGTTAATTTGTCTTTAACTCGACATTTGTTGTTTTAATAGAGGGTTAATTATAGTGGTGGTCCCAAAAGTTTGAACTTCGTCTCTGCTTGATGTTCAATGTTACAATTGTATCACAATGTATTGAATTTATTTTTAAGTTGTCTCCACTGCTGTCTAAATTTTTAATTCTTTTTCTCATGTGCTTCCCACATGCTCCCAAATGAAGGGTATTTTAGACAAATCGATGTGTACTTGGCCCAAAAATTGCACCAATAGTCCTCAAAGTACTCTCCGTCTCATTTTGGTCATCCAACATTACAATACGTTAGAGACTAATCTAATAATATGTCTAAAATACCCTTCATTTGAGAGTATATCCGAAACAAATGAGTTAAAATCGTTAAAAATTTAAATGACATTATACGTGAAAACTACTTAAAAATAAATTCAATACATCAACGACCGATGTGATACAATTATTTGAAAAGTTACCAATATATTGTTTTTGTGACGCAGTTATATAGCATAAATCGCTTATCATGCATTGACACCACAAGCTTTAATAATGCCTTACAAGGTGATAGAGAGTGGATGGTTGACACCGCAAGCTTGAATCATGCGTTATAAGGTGATAGATAGAAGAGGGTGGGTCCAATTGCTATTAGGTTAGGAGGGTCCTGAGGTTGTTGAGCAACATAGGAATGGCCTCTGTCTGACTACATCGAGATTAGAATATTTATATGTGATTAATCTTTCATAGTTTAGTTTAAGAAAGTTATCAAAATTTAAATTTAAATCATTTTAATTTTGTGTGCGCTGAATTTCGCATAATAGTTAAAATGAAAACAGATATCTCCCTTGAGTGAACTCGTGTTCGTAGAGAGGGCGAAATAAGTTAAGAGGGTCAAAGAGAGTCTAAGAAGTGGTGATGAATTGTTCTAGAGGGCATCCAGCTAGCTCTAGTGGGTCACAAGATGTTCCTAACACACAAAGAAACAAGTTAGAAGGGCGCCGAAATATTTTTCGACGTATCCCCTCCAACAGTCAAGTCAATTCTTTTAGAGAGGGAAAAAAGAAAACATTGTATGGCTCTTCAGAGGTGATTTTGCATACCTTTGCAATGTATTTTTTAGAACTATTTATACCTTTAAAGACTCATCATTACTGATAGTCTAGGCAGTAGATAGCCTTCAGAGATGGGGCAGTGTGCCCCTTATTTTGTGTGAGGAATGTACCAGTATTAATTGCTTGGGCCCTCGAGCAGTTAATGTTTTTTCTTCGATGTAGAGGCTTTACATGCTAGGACCCAAGACATTTAATACCCCTTATCTTCAGCTTCTCAAGCCACTGTGAATATCACATCATTTGGGGATTCATTAAATTACATGGAATAGTCGCATATCAACAAGGATAGATTTGTCTTTTTACCCTTCATCTTGTACTTTATGTCACGCGTCTGATTCTCTCTAGTTGAGTGTCCAATTCACTCTGTCATTTTAACTCCATTGTGCAGAGTGTCATCATAGTTCCTTGTCTAACTTAGGTCGTTTAACTGTCCGTCATTAGCCTCCCCAAAAGCTGCAGACCTATGGAGAGATAGGAGCGTGAGTACCCTTGAAATCAAGGACATTTGGCTCGCCCCTAGGTGTGGGGGGTACCTCGGAGCCGAGCGAACACGCCTCAAGACCAAGGAACATATCAGTCAGAACAGGGGCCTTGGGGCCGAGTACACGTGGCCTCGACAGAGACAAGAGAGGTCCTTCGGCGCCGAGAACACGTGTCGTTAATCTAACACTTTTCCAGAATTGTCTCGTCAAATTTATAACACACAAGTCCCGATAGCACTTGAACTACCCTCGAGCAAACAGTCAATCAATNAATCTAATAATATGTCTAAAATACCCTTCATTTGAGAGTATATCCGAAACAAATGAGCTAAGATCGTTAAAAATTTAAACGACATTATACGTGAAAACTACTTAAAAATAAATTCAATACATCAACGACCGATGTGATACAATTATTTGAAAAGTTACCAATATATTGTTTTTGTGACGCAGTTATATAGCATAAATCGCTTATCATGCATTGACACCACAAGCTTTAATAATGCCTTACAAGGTGATAGAGAGTGGATGGTTGACACCGCAAGCTTGAATCATGCGTTATAAGGTGATAGATAGAAGAGGGTGGGTCCAATTGCTATTAGGTTAGGAGGGTCCTGAGGTTGTTGAGCAACATAGGAATGGCCTCTGTCTGACTACATCGAGATTAGAATATTTATATGTGATTAATCTTTCATAGTTTAGTTTAAGAAAGTTATCAAAATTTAAATTTAAATCATTTTAATTTTGTGTGCGCTGAATTTCGCATAATAGTTAAAATGAAAACAGATATCTCCCTTGAATGAACTCGTGTTCGTAGAGAGGGCGAAATAAGTTAAGAGGGTCAAAGAGAGTCTAAGAAGTGGTGATGAATTGTTCTAGAGGGCATCCAGCTAGCTCTAGTGGGTCACAAGATGTNCATAGTTTAGTTTAAGAAAGTTATCAAAATTTAAATTTAAATCATTTTAATTTTGTGCGCGCTGAATTTCGCATAATAGTTAAAATGAAAACAGATATCTCCCTTGAGTGAACTCGTGTTCGTAGAGAGGGCGAAATAAGTTAAGAGGGTCAAAAAGAGTCTAAGAAGTGGTGATGAATTGTTCTAGAGGGCATCCAGCTAGCTCTAGTGGGTCACAAGATGTTCCTAACACACAAAGAAACAAGTTAGAAGGGCGCCGAAATATTTTTCGACGTATCCCCTCCAACAGTCAAGTCAATTCTTTTAGAGAGGGAAAAAAGAAAACATTGTATGGCTCTTCAGAGGTGATTTTGCATACCTTTGCAATGTATTTTTTAGAACTATTTATACCTTTAAAGACTCATCATTACTGATAGTCTAGGCAGTAGATAGCCTTCAGAGATGGGGCAGTGTGCCCCTTATTTTGTGTGAGGAATGTACCAGTATTAATTGCTTGGGCCCTCGAGCAGTTAATGTTTTTTCTTCGATGTAGAGGTTTTACATGCTAGGACCCAAGACATTTAATACCCATTATCTTCAGCTTCTCAAGCCATTGTGAATATCACATCATTTGGGGATTCATTAAATTACATGGAATAGTCGCATATCAGCAAGGATAGATTTGTCTTTTTACCCTTCATCTTGTACTTTATGTCACGCGTCTGATTCTCTCTAGTTGAGTGTCCAATTCACTCTGTCATTTTAACTCCACTGTGCAGAGTGTCATCATAATTCCTTGTCTAACTTAGGTCGTTTAACTGTCGGTCATTAGCCTCCCCAAAAGCTGCAGACCTATGGAGAGATAGGAGCGTGAGTACCCTTGAAACCGAGGACATTTGGCTCGCCCCTAGGTGTGGGGGGTACCTCGGAGCCGAGTGAACACGTCTCAGGACCAAGGAACATATCAGTCAGAACAGGGGTCTTGGGGCCGAGGACACGTGGCCTCGACAGAGACAAGAGAGGTCCTTCGGCGCCGAGAACACGTGTTGTTGATCTAACACTTTTCCAGAATTGTCTCGTCAAATTTATAACACACAAGTCCCGATAGCACTTGAACTACCCTTGAGCAAACAGTCAATCATCNCTAACACTTTTCCAGAATTGTCTCGTCAAATTTATAACACACAAGTCCCGATAGCACTTGAACTACCCTCGAGCAAACAGTCAATCAATTTTTAACCCCTGCATTTTTTGTTCTAATAACTTCTAATTGTACAAGATATGTAAAGAAAGACAACGTGCCATAAAAATAGACAACTGGGGTTACACACACACAGCATGAATGAAAAACTTCTGCAGAGGGGAATTAAGAGAATAAAAAACAATCCTAAGCAAAACCCATTAATTTATTTAGTTGAAAGGCTGCAATAGCTTCTTTTTTTGTGACATCAAAAGAGTAAAAAACAATTGCAAAAACAAAAGAAAGTACAAATAAATTACTCATTCATAACCAAACCCTACCTTACAACAAACTCAGACACCAACTTCCAAACAAAGGAAGGAAGGGGGAGAGAGAGAGAGAGAGAGAGAGAGAGAGTTTAAGCTAAATCTCTTTTAACATGAAAACAGTTTAAGCAGTGAGCTCCTCCTCCTTGTGGGTCTCAATAGTAACATTAGACTTGGGATAAGCAACACAAGTGAGAACCCACCCTTCATCCATCTGCTCATCCTCAAGAAAACTCCCATCGGACTGATCAACTTCTCCCTCCACCACTTTTCCGGCACAAGAAGAGCAAGAACCAGCCCTGCATGAGTAAGGAAGATCAATCCCCTTCTCCTCTGCATGGTCGAGAATATAAACGTCGTCCGGGCACTCGAACTCCACCGTACCTTCCGGAGTGACCAACTTCACTTTATGTGTAGCCATACAAGTTATCCGGCCACGTCGACTACCGGTGGTCTTGAGGCCAAAAACAGCCTGGTTAAAATTGGAGAGCGGGCGGAGGGAAGTCGCCGGCTTTCCCCGGAGGAAGGAGGTTGTGACCAGGGTGCCGGAGAGGGCGGCGGAGGTTGCCATTGTGGTGGTGGTTTGGATGAGAATGAATATGAGGTTATGCGAAGAGAAGCTTACTACTAGANGAAGGAGGTTGTGACCAGGGTGCCGGAGAGGGCGGCGGAGGTTGCCATTGTGGTGGTGGTTTGGATGAGAATGAATATGAGGTTATGCGAAGGGAAGCTTACTACTAGATGTGGGAATGGATAGAACGGGGCTTGTGGAAATAGTGTGGCTTTGGAGGAGTTGGGATGGATAGTAATCCGCCACGTGTCAAATTGGTGTGGTTTATGTTATCATGATGTAATCACCAAAAGCTATACATTTATGTGGGTGTGGGTGTAACAAATCACTATCCTCTCTTTATTTCTGATCTTTCATTGAGGGAGGGGCATGACGGTCATTTCACTAGTTTCTAATTGACATGTATTTGAACAAAATTTTAAAAAATTTAATTTAAATATTTATGATTTTAAATCCGTAGATTTTGTGTACAATCTAGTTGTTGATAGCCAACGTAAAACTTGTCCGATCAAACATGAACATTTACGCTCTTGTATTTGACATAATCTTTTGTTCTAAAGAAATAATTTTATTATAATTGTTAGATCGAGAGAAATGAAATCAAACTCCAATCTTCAACCGCTAGAACATCAACAAGATCAAATCTACAACTTTTTTTTTTTATTCCCCACATGATTGGGGCATACAAGACAAATGAATGCGTATGTTATAAAAACATCACGACATTTAAGGAATGAGATTGTTAAAATTCAAACTCGAGTANTTAAAAAATTTAATTTAAATATTTATGATTTTAAATCCGTAGATTTTGTGTACAATCAAGTTGTTGATAGCCAACGTAAAACTTGTCCGATCAAACATGGACATTTACGCTCTTGTATTTGACATAATCTTTTGCTCTAAAGAAATAATTTTATTATAATTGTTAGATCGAGGGAAATGAAATCAAATTTCAATCTTCAACCTCTAGAACATCAACAAGATCAAATCTACAACTTTTTGTTTTTTATTCCCCACATGATTGGGGCATACAAGACAAATGAATGCGTATGTTATAAAAACATCACGACATATAAGGAATGAGATTGTTAAAATTCAAACTCGAGTAATGAATTTGTTTAATTTTGTTTGTGTCAATTTTATTAATGTCTGTCTACTAAACAATTGAGCTGAATTTAAACCCAATCACAAATATAGCAGAGTTGAACATAACTAATGAACCATACAAGNTAATGAATTTGTTTAATTTTGTTTGTGTCAATTTTATTAATGTCTGTCTACTAAACAATTGAGCTGAATTTAAACCCAATCACAAATATAGCAGAGTTGAACATAACTAATGAACCACACAAGTAGAGGAAACATAATCATAGTTCGATTTCTTATATTGATTATATATATATATATAGATGGTTGTGCTCGTTCTTCAATTTTGTTTTCGTAATGATTTACTNAGTAGAGGAAACATAATCATAGTTCGATTTCTTATATTGATTATATATATATATATATAGATGGTTGTGCTCGTTCTTCAATTTTGTTTTCGTAATGATTTACTATCAAGGCATTGATCTTTCTTTATAACAATATTATATTCTTTCTTAATGTGACAACGTATTCTTTCTTGTTTTGATTGTTGTTATAGTAAAAATAAAATAAGTCCATACCCACATTAAAAATGTCAAAGCTTAGACTCAAAAGAAAGAAAAAAGCAAAAGTTGAGAGTGAGTCATCCTAAATTAACTTATAATGACTTAAGTCCGGGAAAAAAACTTATTTAGAAATAAGTACATGTTTAAACTTATATGTAAGTACTTAAGTCTACATATTTTTTAAATCTCAAAATTAGCCCTAACAGTGTTAATTTTGTCCAATTATGAAAAATCACATAGGGTAGATCATTGAAGTATATATAGAAACTCTTGATTGAGTTGTATACATAAACCGTTTATTAAATATTTTGATAATTAACGAAAATTTTATATGAAAGTTATATATGAGAAGCTTAATGTACGAATAAATTGTTGGTCTATTAAGTAAAAATCATATCACAAAATTTATTTAATAACAGTAATGCATTAATATAGGGAGACTGAACAAGGAATAATAAAAATAAACAAGGAAAATTTCCTTAGAATTTAGAGTTTAGAAAAATAAAAATGAAAAAAAAAACAAAAAAGGCTTCACCAAGGAATAATTTTATGGCTCAAAATTATTGAAGAGGCATCTTGTTAGGAAGCATTGTAGGGGGCAGTAGTACAAGTGTCCAATTAACATTCTCAGGTAAATTCAAAGTCTGAGAATGATCACTTGGTGCAAAAAATATAGACTGCAACCCCAAGGGATTATCCCACATCGAATAGCCTTAGGGTGCGTGTGTCTGAGTTTATATGAATGCCATCGACCTTAAACTTTTAAGTGTAAGTGTTTGTGGTTATCCTATGATCAAAAAAAACACCCAAGGGAATGGTCTAATGATAACTAACCACCAGATAAACCTCTCATGTGATCCACCATCCAAGCAGTTTGATGAGAGACCAAAGTTGATAATCATCTTTAATTGAAGAAAGAGGCTTGAACAATAGCAAAATACGGGTGCAACACAATCTGAGTCCGTCGGGCAAGTATCTAGTCTACCCAGGCTCAAGGAAAGATATGAAACTCCCAACCCAACCAAAGTTTCAACCCAAATATTACCCAAAACTCAAAATTTTGAAATCGAGTTGAACTCATTATACATCTCGCACAACAATCTGGGTTCAGATTTGGAGTTAACTCGACAATTGGACAATACTTGGGTTAGACTCAGATAACCCACCACACTAACTTGATTATTGTTCAAACTCAACACGGAGTTGAGACTATTTGCCAAGTCCAATCCAAATACTAATAATCCACAACCAAGTTTTCAGCTTTGATTCATTGGAGTTAACCCACCTGAGTCGCACTACTCAATGAAAAACGGAAAGAAGTAAATGCAAACAACTATATTGGCAAAAGAAGTGGGAAATGAAGAAATATCCTGGTGTTCTGAATAATATGCAATGCATAGATAGAAATAATTGTTGGCACATAGTATCCAAGCTCAAAATTCATTTCCTTGTCCCAGACATGCGAAAAGCATAATAAGCAACAAATTAAAAGAAAAGGCAAATGGCACTGCTTACAAAAGTCATCCATTATATATAGAGGGAAGAAGAGGTAAATAGCTACATGAAAGGTAAAGTCTCAACTCATGCTAGATTTTCGGATTCTAAAAACCATCTCTGCATTCTAAATCAAGTAATATAAGACTTTCTCCTACAGACTGGGGAAAGGAAAAAATATCAGGGGGCTTACCCTAATCCAGAAGAGTTACGTAACATCCTCAAACACTGAATTGCGACTGTGAAGACTGTTGGGATCCAACGCATGACCAGAGGGCTTCCACTCGGTTTTGTTCCCAATGATTTAGACATACACGGAAGCAGCATCTGTCCTATTCTTGCCTGGATAAGAACTAGTCACACTTGATGTTTCGGTAGATCCTCCTCACAAACAGATTAGAGCCCAAATAACCAACAGCTCCTGGACAATTTATGACAGACAGTGAACCAAGGTAAATATAATTTCACATACATAGCGAGTGAATTTATGTTCCCTTTTCCGAGGTTAAAAGATCCTAACAATAAACACCACAAGCAATGTGACGGCAGTGAACACCCTTAATAGAAGTCAAAGGCAAGCGTTTGAGAACCAGACCCCACCCCCTAAAAAGAATAGAAAAAAAGGCAGCAAAATCGGATTCAAGCAAGTTGATCACTCAACTCTACAAGATAACCCGCTGCCTGACACTGTTTCAATTGCATTTTAGGCAATATGCTGAGCCATAAGACCTATCCTGATGAGGACCCTAAGTAGATTCCAGATATTAGTTTTGCATAAGCTATAATTGTGAAAATTCGCAGTATTCATGCATATGATGAGTAAAATTACTTCCTTAATTAATTTGTAACCTTTTTGAAAATCATTCACAGCTTAACAGTTTCTCAAAGATCGATAGCACCACCAAGTTCATTCGTGGCTTTTATTGGTTTCTCCAGCAATGCAAAGCATGTGACAAAAAGGGGGGGCAGATTTAAGAATTTTATATGAGACACCTTCACATTCTCAGGTCAAGTTCTGACAGACTTGACAGTAATTATAGGTTGAAAGATCAAATTTATTTTATTTTTATCTAGTTGTAGGTATCCACGAGGACCACAACATACCAAGAATTTCAATGATGCTGCAAATGAGCTGTACTTGTGGTCCAGGAGTCTTAATTTTTGTCAAATTAGGTTACTTGATTCAGCACCCTGAACAGTATGTTCCTAACCCCAAAAATATTACCCCTTGTTACACCTTTGACAATCTCTAAAATCAACACTTCTACAATTTCTAGCCACAAATTCAGTAATATATTGCCCAAATAAAACCCTTTAACAGCTTCCCTAGAGCATAACTTAGTGTCTTTACAAACTTTTCCTACATCAGCCAAAGAATCCAACTACTATAACACTATTTCAACTATTTTTTAACATTTTACAAATTCCTACAGGACTTGGGGGAAAAGTATGGCAATTATGGTTTTGTATCGAGCCAATTAATATGAACAAACATTGTAAAATAAAATCTATATATCGGAAAATTATAAGTTCCACTGCAACAGAGGTGGAAGGAGGGGGCAGGGAATTTGGACCAAGTAAATGAATGAACAATTACAGAAAAATAACCAACAACAAAACTATCAGAACAGCAAAACTCACCGCAGAGGATTCCTAAGCCGAGACAAAACATCATTGTGTATCCAAAGTAGAAGCTGGTTTGGAAGAACCCTGACATCTTAGTCTTCATATAATAGTAATATATTGAATACAAGTACACATAAACAGCTGTTGAGGCAGCAGACAAGAAAGAAGTCCATTGCCAGTAATAATTCTCAGCATTTAGCAAGAAATATGTTCCCACAATTGTTACACACACTGTAACAATAATGAGAATGAGAAAAACCAGCAGCATAAATCCATAGACATAGTACACCTGTCAAGAACAGAATACAAGAGTGAATGTAGCTCTGGTGATCAGAATTAGAATTGTGCACATTCGACAAAACTGATTAGCATGCATACTTTTTGTTACAATATAAGGGTGTGGGTGTGGGTGCGGGCAAGAGGAAGCCACGAGTTTGTAAATTTTTCAAGGAATAAAACCAATCGACTTTGATCCCTTTATTGCACAATTAGCAATTCTAACAGCTTATTCTTCTATTTATCCCAAAGGTCCACCCCCAAAAAAATAAACAAAAAAAAATGGACAACATATATTTTCATAATAGCAATCATAAGCAAGGGCATGCACCACAATCTAAACATTCAGATCTAAACAGTGGGTGGAGCAACCTCAACCTCAATCCAAGCTCTAATTTAGTTGTGCAGTAAATACAAACTAAAATCATTAAATTTCTCCAAGCAAATTCTATGAGTCATACTTTACCACTAGCAATAACATTTTTATATAGGTTCGTTGTTTCTGCATCAAACAAAGTGTGTCACAGGTCCAAATCTCATTTTGTGTTCAAATCTAAATTAGAGACAACACCTGTGTCTATCTGCTGGTCACACATGCACAACTATAACTCGTAAGCTAAATTTTAAGTTTTTTATAAAACATGAGTCACAACTCATTTTAATTTATGTCCATTCTGAAGGACTACTCGGCCTTGATTTAGATGCAATAGAAAACAAAGTCAAATAATTTATGTCTATGGGAAGTACCAAGAGTAATACTAAGGTCATTTGATCACACCGTTGAACCTGTAGGAAAGGAGGCAATTGATTTACCTTGTAATTCCAGAAGGATGTGAAGACAAAGTACATCTCAATGAATATACTGCCAAAGGGTAGCAGCCCTCCCATCATTGCAATCACACTTGGTGTAAGATACCACTTCTTCTCAGGAATTGGACGGGGAATGGTCTTCACACGACATGGATTGTTGGGAGCGCCACTCCAGTTTCTTCCCACAACTGTTCCAACAAGTGCCAAAGGGAAAGATATGAAAGCCCAAATGACAAAAACCACGACCATAGTTCCGAAAGGAATAGCTGCTAAAGACCCATAAAATATAGCAATTGTGTTCAGGATGAAACCAATCCCAAAGCACAAAAATGGAAAAAGTGATGCCGTGAGGATCATTGATTTTATCCATTTTTTACCTATAAAGAAGACAGAAGTACAGCATTAGCATAAATACAAACCATAGTTTAAAAAAAAAAAGAAGAAGAAAAAAGAAAACATGAGAAATATGAAAATACAGTATTGTGCATACCACCATTGCGTGAGTACATCCCCCCGCTCACATAACCAGCAATGAATGATGTGAAAGCGTAGCATACTATGAAAGCTGTGACAATTGATCCTCTCCTGAAGCACATAATTTAAATTACAGTTGAATTCAATAATAACAAAGTTTAGGAAGTGAAGTAAATATTGAAAATATTAAAACAAATCGCATACATGTGTGATCTTCCAACAGTATAACTGAAAACAGGAGAAACGAATAGGAAAGGTAGAACTTAAGCAAATAAATCTATGTTCCAGTTTAACTCTTAAAAGCCAAAACGTTAACATAAAGAATAAGACACAAAAGTCAGAGAGATAGAAAGGGGCTTATATGAAATGGCAATTGATATATTCACAATCCCCCCAGTGAGCTTGATAGAGAAGTAATGAGACAGCCATCGACAAATATAATGCTTAAAGATAGAAATGTCCCAAACATCTTACAATACTTCTCTACATACCCAATGTACAGCATTCCAAAAATTGCAACCAGGATGACGAGGAGAACCAGCAATGCAAGTTGAGCTCCAGTGCCAACAATAGCAGAAATTAATACTAAATAGCGAGGAGGGCGAAAAACATCCCCATGAACAAGTTTCCAACCAGACTCTTCACCCACATCTCTTTCCTGAAAATGATTTTTTATTGGAGAACTAATTGATTAAAATGTCCCCAAAAATAACAATTAATAGACTTTATTAAGAACTCTTCGATAATAAGTGTTACCAGAGTTTCCAGATCATCGTCTTCTCGAGCATACTTGGCATAGTCATTTCTAAGAGTTCGCATCAATATCATCGACACCAAACCAGTGAGGAAGATAACCATCATGAAAGAATTAAAAATGGAGAACCAATGAATCTGCAAAATGTAAAAGGCATTTACAACCCATTAAGTAGAAGTCAATACAGAATTGAAATGTACTATAAAGCAATAAATCCCACCAAGCATCACCTCAAAAGCTGACAGCATTGAAGCTCATCTTAATAATTTCGGAACAGCAATTGCCAACAGAGACACAGAAGAGGTATGGAAAAACCAAAATTGCAACAAACAGAACTACAATGCCACAATTGTCAACAAAACCGAGCTACAACATGACCATTGTCACAAAAATGAATATCAATATTCACCTGATGCTCAAAGAAGGGATAGTCCAAGTAAACATCAAAACGGCGTGCAAAAGTTATGTTAGTCGGAGTCCATTCAACAGAATATGTCATGTCCAATGGTCTACCCACAACCAGCGGTTTTGGGTTCTCTTGAGTGAGATTAACATGAATGATCTGCGAGAAAAAGAAAGAAAATTCAAATGAGTATATCAAGATGAAACTCAAAAGGATCCCTTTTTCTTCAATAAGTAAAGTAGATCCGTTATAATTCCATAAAGGAGTTCAAAAGCCAAAAACCTGATCTTTGTTATATCTAACAAGAATTTTCTTGTGTGTGTAAAGCACATGCTTGTTCTCGCTATTCCTATCAGGATGCAGCTCACCAACAAAACCTGCAAGATGCGTAAGATGACATATTATGGCATTAAATAACAAATTAACTATCAAAGCAGACTCAAAAAGTCACATAGGGAAGTTTAAGGAGCACATACCCCATAAAGGCAGATCATCTGAGCTTGCATTCAGCACATCAGACACCAAAGAAAACGGGATCAGAGGAAAGAAAACAAAATGAAACAACAATACTCCAAAAAAGTACATAAAAGAACTGAAACCTCTAAATCTCATCAAAGAAGTATAAAATAGATTCTGCACATACAAAAGTGTTATAACCAGAAAAGTAGCATACACCTTTTAGTGCTACAGGAAGATTAACTTCCAATTTTCTTTGTTTCTGTTGGAGTAAAAAGCAGAAAAAAATGCTAGTTTATGACAATTGACAACCATGATTGTGGCAGCAGAACTTTGTGATTGTCCGAGTAGATCACGTGTATGATAAAGCATGGCAAATATGTTTTCTGAAAACGTGTACTTTGAGATAAAGAACTCTTAAACGTTTTTTAATTTCTACAATATGACCATTTTTATCTAACGATGGATTCTTTTCATTTTTGAGGCATGTTTACAATAACTTACAACACATATGGTTCCATTTCCATAAAATTGCCATATTCAAAAAAAATTAAAGCAATTCCATGTGCATCAAAGCATATGCCAAAATAAATATCCGAATAACAATGCAGTCCTCCATAAACATATCGATTAAAGATAAAAAAAACAGAGTGCATTGCTGCCATTGCATACCCACGAAGAATTCAAACCAATAGCTATTTTCAATAGCATCCTTGAACTGTTTGACCTTAGCTTCATCAAGTTCAAGTTCACAAATGGTACTCTTCTCCACATTTTCTGCCACAGTCAAAATATGACATGTTATTGCTTAATCACACAACAATATCTATACAAAAGACCAGAGAACATCTACATACTTTGGAACTTTATGTCAATCTGGCTATCAATTAGTTCATTTCCACCCAAGACCTCACCAAGCCCACCCCATTTGTGAGCAGCATTACCAGCATGACAAGATGGAAGGTTGTAATAATTGTAAGTCTCTTGTGGATTGTTATAAGGTCCAACTTTGTTTACCCAAAGGATAACTTGGTCTTCTGGTTGATACTGCAGGACAAAGTTAAAGGTGGTCAAAGAAATCATACATAGCTACCAAAATATTTAAGCCTGCAAGCACATATTAACTCCAATAGACTGTTAATAGAAACACACGCTCCACAGTTGTACTTGAGAATACTAGTTCTCAAGTCAATCCCAGTTACTCCATCACATATTACAAAGCTAATACCATACAAGAAAAAATAGTCACCTACTGCAAAATGAATCGGCCTACTGGTACTTTGATTGAATAACTTCCCTTAGAAAAGGGAAGATACAAAATCCACATTGATGAACTCAGAACTGGAGTTCATGTTTACACAATTACACCAATAAAGCAACTGGAGATAGGACCAGTATAACAGCAGAAATATACATATAATGCTGCTGAATGGTGAATGGAACAAAACGATATTAAAACTCAAGGTGGAGATCTTGCGCAGAAAAGTAAAACATTAAGAACCTAAAACCACAACGAGATGAGGAAACAATGCATTGTAGACTCAGAGATGAGAATCAAGTATCAACATGGGCATCAGGAGTGTAACACCGCAAACCCTTTTATAAGACACAGCAAGCAGACGAACATCCAAGTTATTAACCAATTAACGAGTTGAATGCTAGGGAAAAATCAGCACTCCTCGTGCCATTGTTAAGCTAGGAGTATTTTTACACATACAATTGTCTGGCAAGCTGGAGTTTAAACAAAACAGAGCAGAGAGTAACAAAGACATACACCAAATATAAGGGATTTAGAGAACCTTCACGGCAAACATTAGGAGTTCTTAGAACTAACGGACATAAGGGGATTGCACTAGAGAAAGGTACAAATCTATGTCCTAGTTTCTATGAGCTCCTTAGTTTTGGGGCTTGCAAAAAATTGGAAGTTTACAAGAGCCAATGATCTAGAAGATGCCCGAGTAGATTGCACTTGGTAAAAGCATTTAATAATAAGCCCCAAGCACATGTGCCATTCACATCAAATTAGCCACATTATTATTTTAGTTTTTCCCCTTTATGCTAGGCAAGTATGCATTATTGTGCATGCCTTTGGAATTACTGGTTATCTTATTATTTTTAGAAGGAGGGGGCAGGTGTTTTTTTTTTTTTTTTTTTTGGGGGGGGGGGGGGGG